AAAACGGATCTTAGCACTGAAATCTACAGGGCGAGATCAGACATTCCCAGGACCCCAAGTAAGATGGAATAAGGCAAGAACATTCTCCTCTATCGCTAGTTCATCGTTTCAGCACACCTTTGACTTTGTGGAGCCCCGGCACCCCCTTGCTCTCCCTGAAGATGGCCCATTGTCTCAGTCTGTTTCAACCCGTCTGGAAGTCACCAGCTAGCTGAGAAGGGTAGATGAGCTTGTTGGTTACACTGGTGGTGCTGGCCTCTAGAGCCAGGAAATGAATCTACGTATAAGCTGACCTGCTTGGCCATGCGGTCCGGCCCAAGAGCCACACTGGATGGACACTGCCATATGGCAGTAGAGCTTCCAGAAGCTAAACCAGTGGGTCCTGTGCCCTCTGGCCCCACCTCATCCCCCGGGCTGTCTCAGGTTCCAAGACACAGCCCAGCCCAGGGAGCAGCCTCTCCCCGCCTCTCCCCGTTGTTTCACACGGGTTGGCGTTAACTCTGTTATCGTTAAGAAAAGTAGCATTTACTGGGCGTGTACACATCATGGTAGTGATAATGGCAATATCTAAGTTCATTAAGTTTTTACTTCTATCGAGTGCCAGGAATCATGATGAGTACGTGGCATCCTGTCTAATGAAACTTGGCAATGATTCTGTAAAGTTCTTTTTATTACTCCCATTTCACAGATGGAGAAACGGAGGTGAAGAGAGGTTAGGGGACTCGCCCTAGAACACACCAGGTACAAAGTGGCAAAGCCAGGATTTGTGCCGTGTCTGGGTAACTTGAAAGCAAAGCCATCACCCGGTTCTTCTCATGGTAGTGTGGGGAGAAGTGGGCAGGGCTTGCTCTGTGGGTTTCTCCCTGCCCTTCGGAGCCCTTCCAGCCGCTTTTTAACATCTGCCCCTCTTCCAGGCATCAAGGATTGGCTAGCTTTCTGTAAAGGGCCAGGCAGTAACTCTTTTAGGCTTGTGGGTATAAGGTCTCTGGAACAGGTACTCAGCTTTGTCCTTGTAGTACAGAAGCTGCCATAGACAATATATGAATGAATGGGTGTGGCTGTGTTCCAATAAAACTTTATTTAGAAAAACAAGCATCAGGTGGGGTTTGGCCTCCATAGACCAAACTATATAGCTTGCTGGTCCCTGGCCTAGGCCAGGAGACATTTCTGCTAGGAACAAGGGTGATCTGATAGGAGGTAATGTGTTTACCATCCCAGATATACTTAGATTATAAAAGACCATCACTGGGAACAGGCAATACCTAGCCTCCAGGGGCATTTCTAACTGTGTGGGCAAAGGGTAGTTGCTCTCTGACTCTGTCCCTCAAATCACACTCTAAGAGTAATTGCCTGGCAAGCCTGTGTCTTTGCTTTCAGACACAGAGGATTCACTAACTGGTACGAATCTGACATGTGTGCATGCTGACCTAGTTTGAAAAGGAAAGACTTCATTAGTTTAAGGTAGAAACACAGGGTGACGTGTTGTGTGTCCCTGGGGAAGTCAGTTCCCTTCTGGGCTTCCCTTTCCTCACCTATAAGATGGGGATGAGTCTGCTTTGAAAACCAGAGGGTCCTGTGCGAGCTTGAGCAGTCATTCCCATGGTCAGCATTGCTACCTTGCCCCGTGCTCGCTTGGAAACAACATCGTGAATCGTGAGGACAGTATTTTCCGTGCTTTGTTCTGTTCCTGTTGGTCTGCAGCCCTGTGAAGCAGAAAGGGCAGCAGTGTGGTCTAAACAAGGTCCAGTAAGTGCAGAGAGCCGGTGAGGTGCAATCAATCCGTCACCTGCTCAGAAAGCACCAAGGGCTCCCCATTGTCTATAGACTAAAGCACAGACGGCCTACATTCAAGATTCTCCTCAGCCTGGTTCTTTCCCATTTCTTTCCCCGTGAAATTCCTTTTCTCCAACTCTGGCAGTCCCTGAATGTTCTTGGACATTCTCACTTATGTGCCTTCATTCCTATTGCTTCCTTCCTCTGTAATGTCCTCCACAGCCTGTTTCTGATTCCCAGAGAGCTCTCCTCCCTGCTGATGGCTTGCATTTCCACCACTGTGGACTCCTGTCTCTTGATGGTTAGGATATTGCCAGATTTTTAAAAGTCTAATTGTACCCTTAGCCTTTGGCAACCTGACAGGAGCAGGTTCAGCTTAGAGAGGGTCATCCATCCCCCAGGGAGCCAAGCCAGGCCCATCGTTCATATCTCTGGCCACCAGGTGGGGGCAGAGAAGCTGGCCCTGGTCCCAATTCCTCCCACCCGGGCTCACGGGGAAGTAGGAAATCTCCACGTGGTGACTTGGGAATTCATTAACTGTTTCCTTTTTTGTTGTTGATGTTTCTGTATACCTTTTTTTAAATAGGATAAATAAGCTAAATGATATAAATGTAAAGCCAGGCAAATAGCTTAAGAGAAAAGACACAGTTATAACTATATACAGTTAAGGAAAAGGTGGTGCCTTCCTGTGCATGTGTGAGCTTCATTCCTGCTATGTCCTTCTACCTCGTTTCCTGTCCTTACATGCCTGCATTCTTGCCTCTGTGTCTGGTAGTTTACTTCTCAATGCCCTTTTTAAATTCTAACTTTTGATGTGTTGATTTTGCCTCCTTTATTTTATACATTTAATTATGATTTTGAGGACATCCTGTTTTTAGTCTTGGTGATTTCCCACCAGAATTTCTAAACTTAAATTCATCTTCTTAGCCACCCAAATCAAACATATATTTTTTTCATTCTCTTTTATAGAAAACGAACAGTATTGGCTTCCCTCCCCCCCCCCCATTTTTCCACTTTCCTATTCTTTACTATTTCAGTCTAAGGATTAGATGCTACTCCTTTGCTTCCCTAAAGATTCTCTTGTGCAAGACTTTCTGGTTTTATCTGCTGTAGTTTGCTCTTGTGCCAACAGGTGCACCAAGGAATTAGACCAGTGGTTCTCCAGCTCGTGTGTGGGTCAGAACCTCACCCGCAGGAGTCTGGTCCAGTAGGTCTAGGGTAGGGCCTGAGAATTTACACTTCTAACAAGTTCCCAGGTGATCCAGGGATCTCACTTTGAGAACCAAACATTCATCTTGCAGACAATCATCCTTCTCCCTTTGGTGCTTGGTGACTTTGATGACAAATGTCTCCATGCTCTGCCTCTGTCACTGTCCCTGTGAGAAATCCTTTCCTGGATTTAGCTCTTGAATTCTGGCATTATTTATTGTTTTTAAGTTTTTATTTACTTATTCATTTAAGTCTTCTCTACACCTGGCCTGGGGCTCAAACTCAAAACCCTGAGATCAAGAATCGCATGCTGCTCCGACTGAGCCAGCCAGGTGTCCCAGAATTCTGGAGTTATTTTTTGAAAACTTCATGCAGAAAAGACCAAAGACCGGCAGATTTTCCACGCCTTTTTGTAGCTGCCTTCACTGCTAAGGAGGTGGCTGTGAGCAGCATTCTTGGGTACATTGTTTTTCTTGCAGGTTTCTGGAGGGATTGCTCATTCTCCTCCACTGGTGGGAGATATCTGCAGTTTGTCAGATTGAAGTCTATTACAAGAAACTCAGATTTTTTCCCCTCCTCTACTTGGAAGTATGTAGGATTAGGAATTTTTCTTTTCTTTCTTTTTCTTTTCTTTTCTTTCTTTTCTTTCTTTTTTTAATGTCAACAGCCAGCGTGGGGCTTGAACTCACAACACCAAGATCAAGAGTCGCATGCTCTGGGATGCCTGGGTGGCTCAGTTGGTTAAGGCGTCTGCCTTCGGCTCAGGTCATGATCCCACGGTCCTGGGATCGAGTCCCACATTGGGCTCCCTGCTCAGCGGGGAGCCTTCTTCCTCAGCCTGCCACTCCCCCTGCTTGTGCTCTTTCTCTCTCTCTCTGACAAATAAATAAATAAAATCTTCAAAAAAAAGAAAAAGAAAGAAAGAGTCTCATGCTCTAGTGACTGAGCCAGCCAGGCGCCCCAGGATTAGGAATTTTTCTTTCCTCTTGAAGCTTGAATTTGTGACAAGCAATGTCTTGAAGTTGATCCTTAATTTTGCCTGGAACACAGTCAATCCTCAGTATAATGGCTTCTGCCCAGTGCCTTAAATAATTTCAGGGTAAACTTTTCTCCTGTGTAAGTCTGATTTGTTGTGTGGAAGCAGCACTCTGAGGGGTACAGAACTTTCAGTATTCTCAACTGCAAAGATGGCAACGCTTTCTTGCCACCATGCCTTTGCCTGGGCTGTTCCTTCTGCCTGGAGCTCCCTTCCTCCCTTCTCTGCCTGGAAAACTCATAAGCATCCTAAAGGTATCAGCTCAAATGCCGGTTTCTGTGGGGCTGGCCATGATTGGCTCAGAGTCGCACCCCTCCTTGGTCTGCCCAACCTGACCCGCATCATGCCCACCCCGTGGTGCTCATTTTATTTTTGTGTCCCCAGTACCTAGCCTGGTGTGTGGCACATGGTCACGATAGCAGCCACCATATATTGGACACTTACTGTGTACCAGGCATTTTTTAATCCTTGCAGTATTCCCGTGAGGTTTGGATACTCTTGTTATCCGCATGGAAAGATTAGCAAACAGCAGTCTCCTGAGGAACTAAAGTAATTTGTTGCTGGTGGAACAAGACTACAAACTCGGTCTGGCAGCTTCCAGACTGTGCTCTTGGGCACTCGGAGTCGTAGGCACTGGATACTTGCTGGGTGAGTTATGAATGAACAGGTGGCCGTGACGAATGCAGCTCCTACATACAGAAGCATTTGGCGGTACTCTTTTGATGAGAGAAAGGACAGGGAGCATTCTAGGGCTGGGCTGAGCCTGGGAAGGCTGGGTGTGTGTGTGGGGGTGGGGGGCAGGGCAGGCTAAGCACATGCCCAGAGCCACAATATGGAAGGCAGACAGACTTTGTCTCTCTACTTCTTTGTCTTGTGACCCAGCACCTGGTACCTAGGAAAGGCTGTTCTCAAGTAATGATGATGACCCTCCAGTAGTGATGGCCTGTTCTCCTTTCCCCCCACACCCCCATCCTCCTTTCAGCCTCGGCTTTCATCATAGCCATGCTCCTGGCCAGCCTCAACAGCTGCTGCAACCCTTGGATCTACATGCTCTTCACGGGCCACCTCTTCCATGAACTTGTACAACGTTTCCTCTGCTGCTCCTCTGGCTACCTGAAGGGCAACCCTCCGGGAGAGACCAGCGTCAGCAAAAAGAGCAACTCATCCACCTTTGTCCTGAGCTGCCACAGCTCCAGCCAGAGGAGCTGCTCTCAGCCATCCACGGTGTGACTGGGCTGGGCCAGGACTGCCTCCCGTGGCTCAGGTTGTGCCGACGTAGACAGTCCACCCCTTGGTGGCCGTGTGCATGTATGTATAAGGTACCTTTCAGTTTGCACCCTTCCACACCTTGGGGTAGCTTGAGTGGGGTGGGAAATTCTGGCATGGGTTGGGAAGTAGTCTCTGTGGTGGAAGATGATGGGATGACTCAGCCATCAGACAGTTCCTGGGTCTCCCCTAGCTTCCTATGGGTGTTTATATACCCTGCCCCCACTCCCACCTCTGGCTGGTGCATGGGTTGTTTTTTTTCTCCTGGACCTGTCATTTCACTTCAGTATCTTTTTAGTCCTTTATTCTGGGGTCTTGTGAAAGCTGGTGAGTATAGGATAGGTGTGTGGAAGCTTACTGTTCTGAGCTCAGAATAAGGAACGGGAGTGGGACCTCAGATGTGGAGGGTGGTGATAATATCCTCCTGACTTCAGAGTGCTTTTACTTTTGCATGGAACCATCCTAGCATCCTTGGGCACCAGCATGTCTGAAGGTGGCCCTAGGAACAGGGGATTCCCTTATGAAGCCATTTGGTATAGGCAGTTGATTAAAACTTGGGTTGAAAATATTTAAGAAGCTAATATTTGCATGAAACAATTAGGAAAGAAAAAGGAACAGAAGGCATCCAGACTGGAAAAGAAGAAGTAAAGCTCTTTGCAGATGGCATGATTTTGTATGTAGACAATTCTAAGGAGTTCATACACATGTACAAACCCATTAGAACGAATAAATGAATTCATCAAGGTTTCAGGGTACAAGGTCAATATGCAAAGACCAGTTGTATTTCTTTATACTAGCAATTCACGATATGAAAATGAAATTAAGAAATAATCCCATTTATACTGGTATAAGAAAGAATAAAATAGGAATAAATTTAACAAAAGAACTACAAGACTCATACCCTGACAACTCAAAATATCATTGAAAGAAACTGAAGAAGACATCCTATGTTCATGGATCAGAGACTTAAATATTATTAAGATGACAGTACTGTCCAAAATGATCTACAGATTCAATGCATTCTCTTATCAAAATCCTAGTTGGCCTCTTTGCACAAATTGATAAGCTGATCCTAAAATTCATACAGAAATGCAAGGAACCCAGAATAGCCAAATGATCCTTTGAAAAGAAGAACAAAGTTGGTGGATTCACAATTCCTGGTTTCAAAATTTACTACAAATCTTCAGTAATCAAAAGAGTGTGGTACTGGCATAAGGATAGACATGTAGATCAATGGAATAGATCAATGGAATAGAATGGAGAGTGCAGTTATAAACCCTCACATTTATGGCCAATTGAATTTTGACAAGTGTGGCAAAAGAATTCAGTAGGGGAGAGAGTCTGCTCAACAAATGGTGCTGGGAAAACTGGATATCCACATGCAAAAGGATGAAGTTGGTGAAGGGAATTAAGAGGTACAAACTTCCAGTTATGAAACAAGTAAGTCACAGTGATGAAAAGTACAGCACAGGGAATATGGTCAATGATATTGTAATACTGTTGTATGTGACACAGTAAGTGTACTGTGGTGAGCATTGAGTAATGCATAGAATTGTTGGAATTCCATGTTGTACACCTGAAACTAATATAGCATTGTACGTCAACTATACTTCAATAAAAAAAAGAATGAAGCTGGACTCCTACCTCACACTGTGTATAAAAATAAACTCAAAATGCTTCAAGCCCTAAACATAAGAGCTAAAACTATAAAACTCTTAGAAGAAAACATAGGCGTAAATCTTTGTGACCTTGGATTAGGCAATGATTTCTTAGATATGATACTCAAAAGCACAAGCAAAGGAAAAATAGATAAATTAACCTCATCAAAAATGGGGTGTAGAATTTTTTTGCTTCAAAGGACACTGTCAAAAAAGTGAAAAGACACCTCACAGAATGGAAGAAAATATTTGCAAATCATATACTCCTATCCAGAATATATCCAGCACTCTCACCACTTAACAATAAAAAGACAAATAAGCCAGTTTTTTAAAGGGGCAAAATATTTGAATAAATATTCCTCTCCAAGGAAGACATAAACATGGCCAATAAGCCCAAGAAAAGATGCTCAATATTATTATTCATTAAGAAAATGCATATTCAAGCCACAGCAAAATGCCACTTCACACCCACTAAGATGGCCGTCATCAAAAAGATGGGCGCTAACAGGTGCTGGCAAGGATAGAGAGTCATTGCAACTCTCCTACATCGCTTGTGGGAATAGAAAATGGTCCAGCCACTTGGGAAATACTTTGGCTGTGCCTCAAAAAGTTAAACATAGAATGACCATATGAGCCAGAAATGCCACTCCTGGGTATTTACTCAAGAGAAATGAAAGCATACACAAGTACAAGAACTTGTGCATAAATGTTCATGGCACCATCAGTTGTAATAGCCCAAAGTGGAAATTACCCAGATGCCTATCAACAGATGAATGGGTAAATATGGTCTGTGTGTATAGTGGCATAGTATCTGGCTATAAAAAGGAATGAAATCCTGGCACATGCTGCAACATGGATGACCCTTGAAAACATGATGCCAAGTGGGAGAAGCCATTGCCGAAAGCCACATACTGTATGGTTCCGTTTTTGTGACATGTCCAGAATAGGCAAATCTATAGAGAAAGTTAGAGGACCGTGCTGGCCAGGGGCTGCAGGCTGGGCTGAATGGAGAGTGAATGCGAATAGATGCCAGGTTTTATTTGGGGCGGGGGTGATGACAACTTTCTAGAATTAGTGATGATGGTAGGTGAGTTTTTAGAATATGCTAAAACCACTGAATTGAACATGTGAAAGAAGTTAACAACAACAACGAAATGTTAACCAACCGAATTCAGAGGTGGCCAGCTGGAAGGATGAATTCCTTAGAATCTCCCTGAACTTCTGTTTCTCTCCATGACTCACCATTTAGGAGGAATAGTTACTCAGTTTTTCCGCAAGAGTTGATGTTTCCAGTTTGGACGAAGATGCTACTGGTGGTAATCCCCCCATCCCGCTCTAGGAAAGGCACAAGTGAAGTCTTGTGCTGCACACTGTTGTGTTTTATTTACAAGAGCAATTCACCAAAGGTCTCAAAGGTTTTATTTACCTGGTAAACACATTCTCACGTGTCCTCTCGGCCTTTAGGAAGGATATGACCGTGCCCAAAAACTACCTTTGGTTGTTAAATACAGGATGTTCTAGATCAGAGGTTACTTGATGGGGACTGGCCAGCTCATTAGTACTCTGGGGCACTTTTTAAAAAGATTTTTTTACATATTTTTTGGACTGTAATACAAACAGGCGCACTTCCGCAAAGCCATAGATTCACTCTCTCTATACACTGTCCTCTCCTCCCTGCACACTGCGTTATGCACACATGTACACACCCACACATTTATGCACATGGTCTAGGTGTTCAAGGAGAAGAGAGGCATGCACCGAAACTCCAGTACTCAGATTCTTACTGTTTAGTACAAGATCTTCAGTACTAACTGGACACTGAAGACTGTATTATCTTTAGACCCAGAGACAATGTTGCTGTGACATGTCCCAAGAGTGTCAATACCAGTCAGTCCCTGCTCTTTGGGAAGCTAACGGAATGCTGGTTGGGGGTCTTCATGGCCATGCTTGGGACCACTGGGGCACTCTGGGTGCACATGCAGCCATGGTGGGGTCTGTTGGCATTTGAGCCTCCCTGCTCACCAGCCAGAGATGCCCTCTCCTCCGCTGTTCCCGGGGAAGTTGCTGCCCTAGCAGCTAACAGAGGCCACTGGGGATCAAGGGGACAGCAATTCACAGATTTTTCTGACTAGGGGCACAACCTTCTTGAGCACCCTGGAGATGCAAGGTTCTTGGGCACTAAAACCAGCTAATCAGTGGCATTGGATTTCAGCAGCACCCGTGGCTCTATACCCCTCCCCTCCCAATCTTGTGCTGGAGAATATCTTCATCGTCTCAGTCTTTCTCTAACCGAGCCTGGAAGCATGAGTGCAGGGTCCTGATCACTGTCTGGAGCCGGTTGTTTCTGTCCTCCTTCCCCAAACCCCACGCCCGAGGTCTGCATACCACTTTCTCCCACAGTGTCAGACCTGTTGGCAAACCAAAGGCATGGCTGGAGGTGCCAGTCAATTGGAACATGTAGGTTTTCTTCTGGAATGTTTCATTATTCCAATGGTCAAAAGTGAAATGTGAACACTTGAAGACTCTGAGCCTTATTTCTTTTGGCCCTGAAAAAATAATCTCTCACACAGTTTGTGCTCCTTTGGGGATGGATCTGTGGGTTACAACTGCAGGAGGCTGCCTTTTACAAAGATCCTGGTTTCAAAGTCCTTAACCTTTTCTATTCAATTGCAATGAAACAACACTAAATGCAAAATGTGGATTCCTTGCTTTTGTTCTACTGTGGTGATTTTTGCGGTACCCTCGTGGACTGTGCCTTTCGGTGAATGGTGTGGCCAATACCAAGATGTCTGCTTCATCAACTGCTTTATAAAAGGCGCACTGAATAAACAATTTTTTTTCATACGTTGCTTTGCCCTCTTTCTCCCTCCCTAAAACAGTGATCGTGTCTGGTGGCTTGTGGACTTGGATTCCCCTGCAGGATGGCAGAGTTTTCTGCCTGATTATGACAGAAGTACACATGGGGTGTGGTGGGGGTGGGGACCTGGTCCCATGGTCTTCAGTCACTATTTGTCAGAATTCCATTAAAAAAAAAAAAAAAGGCTCTAAGACCCAGGCACGGATCTCTTGTATATGACATAGCCACACCCACTGTGTGCCACCGTCTAACTCTGGAGATAATAGGATTCTAGATTGTCACCTCGAAGGGACACTAACACATATTTCTTCCAGTGAGATCAGGGGGCTACCTGCAGAACCACAGATGGGTTCGCGTTCATTCTTGGGTTCCATGGACTCATACTCTGGAGCTGCATTTTGCGCCAGAGTCCCTGATGAGCCGAATGTAGCATATGAGAGAGAGCGGAACTCCACCCCGCCTCCTCCTCTGGCCTGTTCCCATTACGCCCCCATGCTGTTCTTCCTGCTACTTCTCCAGGAGATTCCTGGAAGAAACAG